GCCAGTTACTCATGCTTCCACTTGATTGTTCAATCTTGAGCCATCTGTATGAAAAAACAATCGATCCTGGACGAAGAACCGGGCCCCAAATTGCCATGAATTACGCCCAGAGTCAACTACTTGAAAAAGTCGATTGAAATTGTATCTTTTCTCCATCCAGTCTTCGTTGTTCCTTACTAGAGAGTTGATACCAGGGTTGCTTCCACTCACTTGCTATAAAAACATAATTTTCGGAACTATGCAATCATTAGATGATATAATGATATGTTATACTTGTAAGTATCGAGAAGAGGGTGTAAAGTATGTGTTTGACTCATAAAATCTGTCAATTTCGCTTTCAGAGCGTCACAGTAAGCGATCTTATGATTCGTGAGCGTTCACTCAGAGTGAGAGCTCACGAATCGTAAAATTGCTGATTGTGGCGCACTGAAAGCAATGTTGTCAGATGTTGTGTGTCAAACACATATTTCACGACGTTTGGAGGCGAACCAGCTCCAGGCTGAAAGCCTCCCTAATAAAGATAAATCAATCAATATTTCACGACCTCTTCTTGTAGCTTATATGTACTATACCATCTCATGATTTTATAATTCTGAAAAACATTTTTTTATAGCAAGTGAGTAGAACTTTTCGGCTTCTAATTGTACAAATAGATGCAATGGTAGCATATAAAGCAAAGCATCTAATGCCTTCGATGGTGTACTTCTCATTGCACCTGTTATTGAGAGAGTTGCTAACCATTGGAGTTTTTCTAACTTTCTCTGAGCAACACTCTCTTTTGTTTTTGGCCACCAGACCAATTAATTAATTAAAAGAACTTCATTCGAAATGTATAAGCGTTTTAAAATTTCTCTCCTATATCTTATAGAGTAAAATTTTGAAATCTGCATCATATAGTCTTTTTCCAAGATACCCAGATTCAGAGGTCACCTTAATAAAAAAAAATACCATGAACAAAAGTTAACCCAAATGCTAAAACTATTCTATAAATGGTTTGGATGATACCTCGAACACATCGATAAGCAAAATAACTGTACACATTTATTTGGGGCTGTTATGCAAAGTTTCATACAAATCGGAGAAGGTCGATTCTAAAATTATTTTTGCTATTTGGCCTGGAACTGCTTCGCTATTTAAAAACTACCCAAATTTGAGTATAATCAACCCAGATTTCTCAAAAATGGGTAAACTAAGTTGGGAGAGGCGTGTTGACAAATGGACAACATCGATCGGATTTAGTTCGATGTTATCCATTTGTCAATTTGTCACTCCCAACTTAGTTTACCCATTTTTGAGTAGTTTCAGTTTTGGCCGATCTGGGTTGATTCTAGTCAAATTAGGGTAGTTTTGGTGTAGCGCGTGCTGCCGCTCATGGCCAGAGACGTTGATAGAGACGTGCAAAGAAAATTTCTGTCAGAACAGCAGCAAATGTATCTGGCAACCAAGGTTGCAAATACTCATTTCAGCTAAAACAATGTTTTTTTTTATTATGAAATAATTAGAAGCTATGATCATATTTTTAATAGGTAGGATACAAGAAGAGGTTGCAAAGAACGTGTTTGACATATTGAACTTGTTTATTTCACTTCATGAGAGTCACAATCAGCCATTTTTCACACACTCACTCACTCACTCAGCGATCAGCAAATCGCTGAGTGTGACTCATAGAAAGCAAAATTTACAGGTTTTATGTTTCAAACGCATACTTTGTAACCTCTTCTTGTAAGTTACAAGTAAAACATGTCATCATACCATCTTTTGGTTTTATTATTCCGAAAAACATTATTTTAGCTGAAATGACTAGTTGCAACCTTGCTGGCAACCATGTTTCTTCGAGTGGCTTCAAATGACTTTCATCCAGTGCCGCAATGCTGTTGAGAAAATTTGAATGTTCGACTGGAACTGAATAAAAATGAAGTACGTGGCAATATTTTGCAAAAATAAAGCAAAGACGAGAGATGACAGTCGCTCCGTGACAGTATAACTTTTTTCATATTTGCAGCGCAATGATTTTTATTACCATAAAACTAAACAAAACGTTCCGATTCAAAATGGTTTTTTCTCACTAATAAATGTTATATTTAAATGATTTAACAATAAATATATAAATAAAAGATATCAAATATTTCGTGAAAATAATTAAACACTTTTTTCATCATTGAGAACAATACTCCTTTCTGATGAATTGTGCGTACAGTAATGTTTATTTACTTTGCTCGTTTGGTTCAGCGTTTGACAGTTCTTTGCAGCGCTGCCATTTATACAGATTTATCTGTATTATACAGATTTTTTAATCTTAATACAGACCCGGTACAGAATACAGATTTATCACAGATTTTTAAATTACAATACAGATTTATACAGATTTATACAGATTTTTATAAAATGCTTGAGAAAAAAAAATTCAAAATTTATTCACTAATATCAATATATGTTATAATTTTGATATTCTTCGCATATCTTTTAGCTCTCATTTTTGTTCTGTTAGCCATCAACTCCATCAAAATGAAATCAATTTGAGTTATCAGGAATAATGAAAACAACATAATTCTTGTTTTCATTTTGTTCTCACCCTCTGCTCGGGAACCTATCAAATTTCCATCGACAATTAATCATGTTATGCTGTTTTTGACAGCATTCACAACCAGAGGACCAACCGCTTTCGGATGCATATGGAGCTGGTAGTAAACGATTTGAGATTGTATGGGGATTTGCAGTATTAATTGAATATTTCCAATATAAGCATGTATGTTAAATACAAGAAAAGTGCCCGAGCACATTAAAATGGTACAAATACAAGTACTCGTAAACATTTTACTTGCATTGAAAATGTATTTCGTAAGAAATTGCGGATTTTCTGATATTCTCCATACTGCAAAAATGATTTTACCAGCACTGGCGGGGCGACATCTCTCGACTTTTCGGTGTAACTACCACACAAATGATGTAATTAATTGTATTCATCTATATTAAAAATATCAAATAGTAATGAACTCGTGCACTTTTTTGCATTTAAAACCGAGGGGGATGACACATCTAAATCTCAATTCTAGATGCTCAACAAATCTCACACTATCGAATCAATCTTCGAAAAATCTTCAATCATTTCTCGCATCTACTTGCATCGCACATCATCTTTTTGCAGGAAATCTTCAGAATCGTCATCAATCTTCTTTCTATCTACTCAGTGTGCGTGCAGCTAACCACAGCAAAACACAATTTTTCCTGCATCGTAGATAGAGTCGCCCCCCTCGTTTAAAACTGCATATCAGGAAGATAATGAATAGAAACTAAAATCTCCATACATTTTCAAACGGCTTCATATCACTCTTATAAATAAGTACGGACGATATCACAAATGGCGCAATTATATCCCGTATGGTTAGTACCATAGCCCGAATAGGTGGTTAAGCACTTTTTATGGTTATTTTGTATGCACTGTATTTGTAAAACAACAAAACATGATTAATTAAGAAAAAAAATCGTGAATACAGAAAATACAGATTTTTTAATAGAGTGGATACAGATTTTTTATAAAACCACCTGGCAGCTCTGGTTCTTTGGTTCTTCTTGCTTCAGTCTATGCGTGTCTCTATTCAACGTCTCTGATCATGGCAAGCCCGTCCCATAACACAAAGCAGAAAGCCGATAAAAACGTGTTTTAGTTAACTTCGCATCATTGATTTTTATGCAACCCGTTTTGCTGCTTTTCTAAACTGTTGCAGAACAAAGTTGTTGAATTTATCCAGTATTATGAAACTATATGTTATTAGCTACCACTACCATTGAAAAACTAAGTGACAAAAACGCAAATGGGACCGACTTGCGATGAGCGGCAGTGTAGGTATGATGAATGTGGAACTCAAAATCGAATCAAAACAAAAACGAAGAGCGAAACGACGAAGCAAATAACGTGCGAAGCAAAGACAAGTAAAAAGCAACGGAACGGGCGAAAAGGAATACCCTGTGGAAAATATACCGACATGATGATATCGAATGGTAACCGATGCTTAACTCAATCGAATAGAGTCGATAGTTTGAGTTCATTTATATATTTTTCTTTATTACGGCACCAATGGCACCAACGATAAAGGATTGCATACTCGTGTGTTTTTCTTCTGGTCCCTTCCAAATTGTCTCATTTTTTGTGGATGGCCCTTATATTTTAAATTGACATAGGATGTAAAAATAACGTTACATTTACTCACAAATATCGATTATAACGATGTGGGTAAACCAATTTGTGTTCTAGGTTTGTTTCAGTAGTCCCGGGATTTTCCAAAGTTTTAGGACTTTTCCAAAAGCAAGATATTACCACGCAGCAGCAACTTAGCAAGATGAGATCTATTTATTAGATATAATAATCTACATTTACTTTAAACTATTATTATTCTACACAATGTCGATCAGAAACTTGCAAAAAAAAAAACAGAAACATATATAATAGTATGATCACTTGAATAAAAAAGTGAATTGAAAGTCGAAAAATATAATTGTTACAACGGGAATCCCGCGCGAAACACAAAATCCGCGCCAGGCGTGACAACCCCACTGTTTTGAAGTGATTTGTGAATAACCTTACGATTGGCTTTTCAATAATCATAAAATATATTTCATCTGTTTCCTTCTTCCAACAGCAAAACAAATTGATTCGATTTTAACACTTCAAATTGATCGAAAATCATTCGTCTTCACCACGCCCAACGATCATTTTGAAAAATTTACCAGTGACTCCAAAAACCTTTGGTCGTGTATAACTCACGGTGTGACCGCTGCTTAACCATAACAAACACGTGTGAGTGTCGTCAGTCAGCAGAGGAGACTTCGAAATTACTTCTCTGTGTACATAAACAGTGAACTATGAATGCTTGTACACAAAAACTTATTTGTTAAGCATGTACCTAGTCTTTAAAATAATAATTACTTCTAATGTTACTTTTTGGATATTGCCCACGCATGGTTTGATTTCTATCATTCTTGAAAACTAAGACTTCACGTACCTCGAAAAGCTGCAGAAACCACCTGGGAAACTCTTCGGCAGATCCTAGCTTGGCTGCCAAAACTTCTTGCAGGATTTCTTCGGCCATTCTTCACAACACTTCGACACTGAGACTGAACTGATTAATTGGGTATGGAAGGGTATACACTTTCACGCAAAATCACTTAATAATTCTTCACTATCATCCTACTTCTACTGCGAAATCACTTCTCTAAAAACCTTGCCCCAGCTCATTCACTCTTTCAACCACACCGATGGGAGTTTCTTCGTAATTTTACGAGATCTCAAATAATTAACCACTGCTCAACCAAGATTGACACTATCATTCACTGATTTACAAGAAAGAACTACAAAATAACAAGTAAAAGCGACTATTTCTGAACTGAAACTGTACCCGGAACGCGTACTCAAACACGACAGAATAAAAACATTCCGCAATATCATACAAATCGACCGAACTGAGACGCAGCAAAACAACCGACTGGAGGATTTCTGTCTGACAGCTGATTACGCGCTTCGTTTTATTTGTAGTCCTCTCACCAATACAGATAGGAGAAATGAGCTACCGGCGAAGAGGCGCGAGCTGTTGCTACTGCATGCATGCAAGCATGTGACCACGTGGTTGCGTAGAACTGGTTTATTAGTTACTAGACCGTTAATAGCAGATATGTGTCATTCGATGTAACGGAATCAATAATTTTTGACACATATTTGACTAGAGACAAATTTGCTAAAATCTTACTTCAAACCTTTGCTCAAAGATTCAAATAAGCAAGCTTTGAATCGGTCTTGTAAATCATTATTAGTACAAAGCTGTGCATTTTTCCAATCTATGGATTCAATCTTTCCCAAACGAGATTGGAAACTGTTTGATTTTATCAATAATCTTGGTCAAATTCTAATGTTACATCGTTCTAAGCATTAGGAAGAACAGAATATCACCCCTATTCTGCATTTCGTTCAAAACGAAATTCTCATACAAAAAATATTTCTTTGTATAGGAATTTCGTTTCGAACGAAACACAGAATAGGGGTGTATGTATTGGTACTTCCGAAGAATTAAATTTGATTAAAAGTAGGAACGAAGCAAGAAAGGATAAATCAACGTTGAATAAAGAGTTAATATTTTAGGTAGGCGTGTTCTGTGTTAAAATTAAGTTTCATGATTCCAGTGAGATCAGAGGATTATCTTTTTGGCAAGCCCTGTGGAGTAGAGTCTTGATGATTACTCTAATGATTTGAAGCATTGAACTCATTTAAAAACAAATCAGTATGTAGTAGTTTCTTCATCCTTGAGAGGAATTTACGTAACAGATTGAGATTACTGAAGAAATAATAACATTCACTTATGCTAGTACATTTTTGACAGGTAACATGGTAAAACAGGCACACTTTGTGTAATGATTAAAGATCACAGAAAATTCAATCAATTTATCAGAATATAGATTTCATTCTACTTCGAAAAACGCTCGGATATGCCTAGTAGGGTTAAACAGGCATAAACGCATTCGGGCAAGACTCAAACTGATGTTACTCACATTCTTTGAGCAATTGAAAGTTCAAGAAAATGCAATAAAGTGGTGAAGAAACCAGACCGCCCCCACTTGACCCTTAACCAAAATACATGCATTAAAACTTGTCACTTTTCAGAACTTGAAATGATGATTTTGTGAAACCACGGGACTGCTATCGAGCAGGTGTGAAAAGAAGCATACAAATGGATAACCAAGCAACCCGGGTTATTTCTAATGACTAACAAAATGACTCGGGATCAAAACCAGACCACCCCCAAACGACCCTTGACTGAATCGCTTATGTACTTTAAATATTTTTCGATTTTGTCAATAAACAATACCAAAATCATTCATGTTTAATGTTCATTACGTTCCGATTCAAATTGTACGAATCTCAAAGAGCGCTTGCAGTTTCCTGTTCTCGCCGTTATCATCTTTGATGGCCAAAAGTTGCAAAGCATCCCCGGAGCACACGTCACTTGTGTTTTTCGGTAGTTGGAAATTAACGGATCGGAGGATTCCAGAAGACGGTGAAGAAGATCTGTATTCGTAGATTTCTGGAAAACTTTCTCATGTGGTAGATTCTGTATTGCTTGGTATCGTTGTTTCTGCTTTCCTGGGCCTCTTCAGACAGTTGCCCAATGAGTATTAGAAACGAAGAAATCACTTTCGCCCCGTGTATGAACACTTTATGAACAGACACGGGAAGATAGTACCATGGATATAGATCGACTAGTTTACGAGCCGTTTCTATTCCGTAGCTTTCGAACCTTTCGCAGTTAATTTCGTTTGACGTTTTGATCCCGAGTCATTTTGTTAGTCACTAGAAATAACCCAGGTTGCTTGGTTATCTATTTGTATACCTCTTTTCACACCTGCTCGATAGCAGTCCCGTGGTTTCACAAAATCGGCATTTAAAATTGTGAAAAGTGACAAGTTTTAATGCAAGTATTTTGGTAAGGGTCAAGTGGGGGCGGTCTGGTTTCTTCACCATTTTATTGCATTTTCTCGTACTTTCAATTGCTCAATGAATGGCCTGCTCATTTTTGCCCGTTTAGGAGCTATTGGTATTGGAAGTTGGGTAATTTTCAACCAAAAATGTAAATAACTTTTCAAATATTGATGGTAGCAATTTGCAGTCTTCTGAAAAGATATGTAATTTGATATTTCTAACATCTTTATAGAACATGCCAGACATATAGAAATATTGCAGAAAAAGTTACAGACACAAAACTGATTTTAACGATGTGTCCACAAAAAAACCTTTATATATCAGAAGTTTTAAGAGCCAGAAAGTTATAGTCTTCAGCAAAGTTGTTCACAGTAATTGTTTCCTACAGCTTTGCCGAATTACAATTATTTTGTATCTTATTATGTTAAAAAAATAAATTTTGCATCTCACTTTTAGGTGGATTAATCTTTAATTTTCTTTTACCATAAGAAGGAGTGTTGTAACCCAAGAAACTTCTCAGAAGACACCTAGTACCTTTAATCAACCATTTCAGCGTAAATAAAAAAGCGCGTGTTTTGATACCCTTGGCACCACTGTGCGTCGACTAGCCCAGCATTTTATTTTGCTGGATATCAGTAAAAAACATGCCGAGATTCAGCTAATGAATCAGAATTTTGCTGAGATATTAGTTTATAAACAGAAGTTTTGCTGAGATCTCAGTAAAAATAAATACCGAACTAATCGGAGATGCCGGATTTTTTGCAAGCTAGATTGTGTGTGTAGGGTTGGTATTCAGTGCTACTACTACTAACGTATACAGGATTTCGGACAGGTACAGCAGGTATTGTCAAAAATTGGTAAATTTATTGCCTTATCACACTACATATTAGTAACTTTCGTCCTTCCCTTATATATAAAAGTAATATCCATATGGTTGTGCTTCAACTTACACAGCACAATAATTACGAGTGGTCGCAAAAACGACAAAAAGTAGTGTAAAAACGAGAATATCAGTCCCGATCGTTTGTCGAATTCCGGGTACTTGTGCCGTAGTATCGGTTTGGAGAGCACTTCGAACAGCAGTGAACCGTAAAGCTTCTGCAGCGAGAATACGGCATACGACAGCGACAGAAATATCGACACCTTCAAAATGAAGGCAACGTTCTCGTCTACTTCGTGCGGTTGCGCAAACCGTCTGCCCTGGAAGAACTTGAAGATCGACATTCCGGTGGTCACAACCAGCGTGACGGTTGGGATAACGATTCGAATGGAAATCACAAGCCATTGAATAATGTAGTGATTGGTGCGGTCGTTGATGAGAACGGTGCAAAACTTGACATCTTCGTCGGTTGAGATCACATCGGAAAACAGAAACAGCGGCAACGATTCCGACATGGCAATGAACCAGATCAACAGTACAGGCCATATCACCGGTATACTGGTCTTGCGCTGCCGATAGTCGATGGTCAGCGATCGCTTCTGGGAGATGCTCTCCGTTGCCACTTCATAGTTGTTCTCCTCGGCAGTCATGTAGTCGGAATTGCTGTCGATGTCATGGCATGGATTGGTTAGCTCATCGTTTGCGGTTGAGATCTGTTGAGCTAGATTATATGTTGAGATCGAATGGAAATTCAGTCCAATGATGAAGTATACGATGGCAATGTTGGTGAAGGATTCGAATCCGATGTAGAACGTGCAGTGCTCGGCTTCGAAGATCCACTGCTGGTGGACGATGTAGAATAGCTCCCAAATACTAATCAGTAGAGTGCAGATGTCCAAAACCGCGATCTGAAGGACGAAGTATAAGGCACCTGGAATGAAAGCAAATAATAATTGATGTTAGTTACTGCCAGGGAATCCAAACTCAGAAAGCAATGAATAATGAAGACAAAACGCTTGTGACATAGCTTGATCGGAACGGACGATATATTGTTTGAAAGACTTTGTTGCTAAAAACACGGATGAGGACAAAGCTTGATTGGAACGGTGAAATGACATAAAAAATCCCTATTTTCTTACGTGTAATCTCCTGCGTATGTACGTGAAGCAGTTCGCAAATATCTTTTTTTTTTCGTTTACTTCTACCGTTTGGATCAAGCAACATTGCAGAGGCAGTTTTTCATGAAAAAACGCAAGAGGATTATGACATTATTGCTTTCCGTTTCAGAAAAAGCGTTATCAATCAGTTAGTTGATCACTTGTCATTTTGTCAATTTGAGATATTTTGGATTTACTACATAATACAAGCCGGTAAAGTCACACTTATACAGAAATTTCGTTCGGGATTCGGTAGGTTTGATTCTCGGTCCAGTAAACACATTCGCAGAGTATCAAAGAGTATCATTGTTCTTGCCTTCAAAGTTTTAGTAAGGACCAGGGCGTCACAATATCAGTTTAAATCGACAAAATAATTGCAACAAGAAAATTTCTATACTGGAGGTCACATTAAAAAAAATCAAAATTCAGACATGGGACGAAAAATCCCAAACACGGACGCAAGAGTCAAAAGAAAATCGAACAAACGACACATTGCGCATGCTCACATGAGCGAGCTTAATGCTCGGTTGATCGCTCACCCTCTCACCAATGAAAGGAAGGGAGGAGAAAAGTAGCGGCAGTAAAAACGCTTGCCAAATTGGAAGATTGCCGTAAAAGCTCAACGCAGATGTCGCCACTGCATGATGATGATAATGTTGACAGACTGCATATAAAATTCGTGGAAATTAGCGTTAAATCATAATTTTCATCAAGCCTGCGTAAAATCCTTGCAATATAACATTCAAATTGAAAAAGAAAACGTTTTTACGATCAGACTGCTGTGCATCTTTGACTTTTCCAGTTGAACTTTCATAAGATATATTTATTTCATTTCGCGGCTCCATCAATGCTGCATCGTAAATATGATGTAAACACAAGTAAATTGGCCAATTACTCAAAATAAAGATGATTTGTCATCTTGTTATCACTTTGAAGACCATCTAGCACCATTTTATAGTATTGTGCGTGTTGAGTAAAGCAAGTTCCGTTGCGTTTTCCGTCGAAAATTGTGAATATCAATATGTTTGCTTAGAAAAGGCCAAAATGAACATTTATTGAATATTGGCGTCCTATACAACCAATTCTCCATTACCACCAGCATGATACAACCTTTCCTAAGTAAATTAACTTTATTTCCACTTTCATCTTAGTGGAAATCGCACATATTCACCATTTTCCGAAAAATGCAGCTGCGCAGGAGGTAACCTCTCGCTGTGGGTGCAAACTTGTTATGCATTATTTTCCATGAAAACCTCTCCGATCCATACCGAAATAATAACAATTAGTTTTCAAACACGTTTTCTTACACGATTCAAGCATATGTTTTTTTCAACTTCCGGAGACGAACCAGCGTTCAGCTGAAAGTTTCCTTGATAAAAATAACTAACTAACTTTATTGTATTTTGTCACAACACATAACTTTTATTTGGATGTTTAGTAGAATTGCATAGAATATTATTTATTTCTGATATTACGTTAATCAAATGTAAAAATATCTAGTTGACTCTTCGACTTACAAATTGTAATCAATCAGCTTGTGGGTTGTTAAAAGGGCTTGTTTACCGATGTGATATGGTTCATTAAACAATAAGAAAGAAAAACTAACATCCCTTCTAACGAGCAATCAGAAATCAGAACATATGAGCATCAGTCCGTTCAAAATTAACGAAGATAATAAAATAAAAAGAGAAAAATTGGGATTTGGTAGCTCGTACCTACTCAAAAGGAAGAAAGGATCATTTATGGATATTAATAAATATAATCCAGAGTGGCACTTATTTGAAAAATCTGTATATTTAAAAAAAATCTGTAATCTGTATAGACAGCTATCTGTATCAAAATGTTGAGAAAAATCTGTATCATTACAGATAAATCTAACAAAAGCACCCACATCGACCACTGGAACCGGAAAATGGACGTTGAGGTTAGGGAGGGGGGGAGGGGGAGGGTGGGTTGGGCGTGGGTTGACCACTCGTCTTTGAACGCTTGGGAAAATGAAATGGTTAAAGGCGTATAAGAGCTACCTCATGTTACCCGAAAATCATTCATGAGTCATATTGCGGAGAGGTGCTGGCCAAAGCCATCGGACTGACACTTTCAGCAGATAAGACATAGTTTTGATGTCTTTGAGTCAGCTACAAGCTATTATAATATATTTATTAGCTTATATAAACATTATATATAATATTACTTACAAATTCGGTTACTGGTTATTGGAAAACAATTGATTCCAACCGGCACCTCTTCACTACAATATCTTCACGATTGTACTCAGTATGCATTATTAGATTATCGGTCAACAGATATTAGGGATGATCACTTTTTATATTGCTCAATTCTGATAAGCGCAAATTTACGCAACAAGTCTTGCATATGAAATTCATATTTGTTTTTAATAAGGCACGACCTGCAAAGTTTCAGTAAGGACCAGGGCGTCACAATATCAGTTTCAATCGACAAAATCAATGCGGCGAAGAGATTGCTAGTTTTTTTTTCTGTTGATGTCGAGCAACTTCGCATCATTCCAGCACCTCAATCGGCGTCAAAATCAAATTTTTAATCGTTTGTTTCTTTTTCTCCCTTGGCTTCATTCGTGTTTCTTTCTTGACTTTGACCAGTTCGTCTTTCATGAGGCACATCAACCGACCTTTCATGACGTATATAACTTGTAACTATTGAAGACTTCCCACCGTATTTGGCGCGGACGTCTTCACTAGCCAGCCGAGCTAGCTTAACTCTAATTTTCAGGGTCGGCAAACCGCACTAGAAGAAACTCACCTGAATCCAACCAACGACAAAATCCCAACCTGAAACTTTTCTTTCGGTGCATGCAGAATTTAGAACACAAGCGTTACGTTAAGAACACCAAGCCAAAATTATATTCATAGGACATTCAATCAAACTTTGGAGCACTTTTTTTTTATTTTATGAAAAGGAAAATGTTCTAAGGGTTTGACTCACTGTCTGATGTCTGCTGATGCTTGCCTCGCTGATACCGCCGCCGCCGCTGCCGTTGGATGCCACGTGTTTCCTCGTCGCTGGATCGCTTCACCCTTACCAGGGCCGATGCTGATACCGTTCCGATACAAAACGTGGTGCTAGGTCGTGTGTTGACGTACGACCGGTTCAGCGCATCTGGGAAGCGGTTCACTGTGCACAATCTTCACACACTTCGAGAGGAATTCAACCTAACTCACACCGCGACCCCTTGTCTCACCGGTTTTAAACTTGACGGACAGTTCTTCAGGGTGTCGACTTAAATTACACAAACCGGGAGACGACCTCTCGGAATATTAACTGGCCTCAACGTCAGTGATATGGAGGTCCAGTTTACCACCACGTGGCCACTAAAGCACGCACTACCGTGTATTGTTCTTCGCGAGTTAGGTTTCACTTGGAGCTAAGCTCCTTTAACGTTTTTTTATTGAGACTCAACCGGCAAGAGTACTTATTACTGACTGTCCTTTAACTTCTCTAACACCGGTAGAATAACGGGTTTGAATCTCACTTGCTGAACTTTTCTAAAATGCACCAATCTTCTTCGCTTCCCAGGATACAAGAGACCTCTATTAAGGATCGGGACCCTTATATAGAAGTGCCGGGTTTGATTTTAGGTAGCCAATTATCATCATACGATCATCAGCCCATCGATGACGATCATATCACGTGATTTACGCGCCTTCGGGTTTTTCTCACTTCGTGCGAGTCGAGCAGTAGGTGGTAATCTTCGCTGTAGCAATGTTCGAGCAGTGGAGCCACCTGATTCCCTGCACTAGCTAGAATTTCAAAAACCCTATCTGCACAACTCCTATCTGACTCGTAGGGTTGTGAGTCGTCTCATTTGACGATACATTCAGTATTTTTATCGTGCTGCTCGTCTTTTGGAATGATTTTTTTTTCCAAAATTAAGCATGACAACGGTTCACAACTTCCCCGGTCTATTTTATTAAAAAATGTTTTCTACTTTACGGCATTGGAGTTCATCAAATAGAAATAAATTTATTAGGTTTTAATTTATATAATTCAATAAATTCTTGATTGAAATTTATATTTAAATACAATGGTATTTCATAAGGCAAATCTGACACCAAAATATAGTATATAAGGTTGAAACATTCGTCGAAGGTTACAAACTGAAAATGAAAATATATATTTCTAGCATTTTGCACGTGCACAGCAAAAAAATAATTTTGATATCACATCAAAGTGGATGCACTACAATCATGTCGAAAATTTCATGTAATTTTTATGACCACAAATGCAGTAAAAGCAGCGTAATGTCGTAATGCATTGTATTAATGATAATTTTGTCCTTTTTAGCAAGTAATATTACACCATATTTTCGACATGATTGTAGTGCATCCACTTTGACGTGATATCAAAATTATTTTTTTGCTGTGTATAAACACTTGAAGATAACACGTAACATCTTTAATTTATCCACATGTTTATCTAAACCAAATAACGAAAACTGGTCATGATGCATATTAAATAAGCAAGACGAGAAAATCCACAGCTATTTCCTTCTTTTTCATTTTCGTTTGGTGTTGCTAGGCTAGACAGGCGTTGTTGCCTAAAAGAAAATAAAACTCGAGCTCATTTTAGTAGGGTGCTTCGATTTAAAAAAAAAAGTTCAGTTTCTTATAGGGCACCCTCCATTTTGATTCATAACCCCAAAATATGAATCTGTGCAAAAATTGGTAAAGATTGATGAAAGTTTAGAGGCCGCGCAAATGGTTTAAAGTTTATATCGAGATTTTGGCGAATTACTATG